CGGGGCTGCCGTAGCTAAGCGCTTGAGGAAGCGTACTTTAGGTCACCGACCTTTCGTTTTTTCCAAGATCCAAGTATGAGTTAGCGGATCGCAATCCGCATACTCCAAGAGAAATTATTGCCGTCCCCAAGCTGACTGACTCTTCAATTTAAATTCAAAGCTAATTTTTCTTACTTTTTATCCTAATTTTAAAACTTTAGACTTTCCTAAATATACTAAATATATGTAGTAAAATCTAAATATATGTACTACTGGCTACCTAGCCCCGTACCGTATTCTTGTTTGGATGTGGTCACACCATGCACATCTCGTGTGACACAAACCTCTGTTCTCAGGTTTCGCGTAACCCGTTACATTTGGAGTTTATTTACTGAGTCGTTTCAACTGCAGGAAACATAATTTGCTACCTTTTAACTGTAACAGGTTTTCATGTGCCCTGGTATGAAGAGTGTGGGTCATGTAGTCAACAATAAAGTGGGATCCAAGGTGATGTGGCCACATAATGTTATGAGTTTCACAAGATGGTGTGACGCTTAAACAGCAAATCAGTACGTGGCTGGAACAGCCAGTACTTATACATATAACTGGGTTTTCTATAGATAGAAAACCTCATAGATTAAGATAGTGGCGCTTTGCCGCAAATAAAACCAAGAAATACAGCAAACGTTTTTGAACGGAAGAGTTAATTAGCCTTGGGTTAAGGTTACTCTTGGAGTAAGTGGATTGCGATCCGCTACGCTCGTACTGATTCTAAGTATAGAACGAAGGTCACCGACCTTATCAGAGCTTCCTCAAAGCGAATGAGCTACGGCAGCCCCGCTGCATAAACACTGCAAAACCCGCGTCACTTATCGATTTAATTCGGTACGTGTTAGTGCTCATTTGAGTAAATATAATCCGCTTTTGAAGTCCATGATGTTGCTGGAGATTGATTAGCGTTTCGAATATTTTGCCACGTTGCGCTCGAAGAAGAGAAAGCAAGGTGAATCAATTGCAAAGCACTCGATAAATTAAAGCCAGTCCATTTTACATAGTTAAATGCTCAGGATCTCCTTAAAAAGAAACAAAAAAATTGGTGTACTAATTGACGTGAACTATCATAGCACTGAATTATCTCTCCAGCGCATTAAACAAGAAATTTGACGAAATGCGTTTTGACCATGACGTCCAGAATTGGTTCAGCCCTTTGCTGCAGAAACGCTTTGAGATAGTTGGCTCGCTAGCTCGCAAATGGTTGCAGGCATCCAACACAACATTATATTGTTTTACTACAGATGGGTGATCAAGCCTAAAAATGGAACCAGTCTTGTATTACATGGTAACAGACGGCATGTCGTTGTACCTAGAAAATATCTGTACGCAAGAGCTTGACCATACGGCGACAATCTTAGCCGTGTCATCGGATTCACAAAAAAACCTTCTATCAGTGAAACCGGATCCGATAATACTACCACTAACAAACTTGCATGAGAATTGTTGAAGTCAAAATATCCTGGGATGTTCTTTGAACGGACGACCAGCATTTATTTGTGAAAGATATTTTTGCAGCCACCAAAACCAAGCGAGTATGATCTGTCCCAAACTATCATTTCAAGTACGCTTCTAGCTGTAAAGAGTCGAATCTTTCCTTTCATATCACTACCAAATCAAGGCGAAGCTTAAAACTAAAAAAATTAGAAAATGCCGGAATCGATTCAATCTGCCGTCATAAATAGAGACATCCTGCAAGGCATTTTCCTCAGCTTGCAAAAAGGTCTATTCTCCACATTATCGTTACAGCTTCGGTACAGCCAAGATGAAAGCAAGTGCTGAAAAGGTGTTTGATGTCATTACCGAAGCAAATTTCGTATGTTGTCTCTAGAAAAGAATTGGTAACTTAAATCTGACCGACAAAGCAATTACGATATATCATAAATATTCCGTACTTGTTTCTAAAGCATACCGCGCATTGAATTTCGACGCCCCACAAGAGATGTCTACTGCGATCGGTCCTAGCGCGACTAGAATACTTATATGATTACCGGATGGGAAGAGCTTAAATCTTGCATCTACGCTATCTGGGAGATTGAAGAGAAGAAAGTTGTTGTAGACTCTCTCCTTGATATAGTTGCAGACGAAGCACGAGAGGAAATACATACTGAAAACGTTTCATTACAGGTCAACGCAAATAAGGACTGTGAGATAAACGATTTTTGGCTCAAAATTTTGTTGATGCAATCTAATACTGTTCTCCAAAACTGGCTGATCGATGATATCCGATACATTTACATCATTATGTTGCCCCCAAGGTTTTTAGTTTGGTTACGTCAAGTGCCGCGCCTGAAAAATACCTCCCAACTGCTGGGATTATTCATTCGAAGCTGCAAAGGACGAAAGTGATAAACAGTTAACTTTCATTCAGACCAGCGCTCCTCAGGTGTACGGGCTACCACAGGCTTCTGATTATGTCTGTTCTGATGAAAAAGATAACCAAAATTGTTGAATTGATTGTGTAAGTTGTTCTAACGTAGAAGAGGATCAGGATAGTTGAATTGATGGCGTAGAAGTGAATGATGTCGGCATTCTTACTCTTTATTGAAAACCCAATGATTTACTGGTTTAATCGGTATAAAAAAAAACATAGATCCAAAATGTTTTGAAAAAAGTGTCTTTTTGCCACCTGCGATTTGAGTAAAATTTTTAAGTGTCACCACCAAAAAAAAAGGTGAAAAGGATAACGTCCTTAATAACTAGCTACTCCAAAGTTCATATCCCGAGTGCGAAGTCGTCAGCGGACTGCTTCAAGCCTCAAATTCTTTTGACGATGCTCAGTAATCAAACTCTTCATCAACGTTATCCAATGCAATTATAGAATTCCACGAATCTAAGACCTTTTGCGTTCTCACTCAAGTGTGATTTTCATCCATTAGATAGTGTCACGCAATCAAAGGAGTAATAAAACAAGCTAGACATTTGAGAAAGCACAAATCCTCCAGATTCAATAGCTTGCGGCCACTTATACTAGTTTTATTGCTGAATATATGATTAGTCATAACATATACTGGACAAGCCAGGGTGCTCAGCAATAGCCGCAGCACCACATTGGTGGATAACAAGTCAATCACGACTTCTATATCTACCGTTGTCCTTTGGAAAGCTTTACGCTGCGACATGGGAGATCCGAAGGATACTGTTTGATGAAACTCATACACTTCACTCTCTGTTGACTTTAGATGTCACGATGTGCATTTTACGAATGCTTCATAATGAGAATAAGGCAACACAACCATATCAGTGTCAGCAGTACGTAAATGCAGCGCTCCGGTCTCGTGTTGCGCTGATGTTTGTCTACTCGATGAAGCTGTCCGATACCAGAGCGCACTTTTTCAACAACCTAGGTGATCCGAATGGATATGTTAGTGCAGTAGTTATTGCTTATAAGAGACTAATTTCACAGATGTACCTGCTCCATGTTGTAGTCAATCCTGTCGACTAGCGTACCTTGGCTGACCACTATATCTGCTACCTCCTTAAATATAGTTGCTAGCGTCGCAACTGATCTCGCAATTCTTTGAATCTCGATGTCTCGCGTTCTAATGTCGTATTCGGTGCGATCGATTGCGATTGCGGTTGCCTTGATGTCAAGTCGAGAGCTCTCGCTTATAAGCGTTGTCCCCTTTTCCATAGAGTCGACGTCAAATATTTCGCTGCCAAACTTTTGAAGCTGAAGACGCTGAAGGTACTCGCGCTGTCTGGCTCGAAACTGTGTGGAGATTCCTTGCAGTCGACCGGCAATAGCTCGCTGTGAATTTAAGCGGACACGACGATCTGCTTGTGAAAAGCTTGGCCTACCTACATCTAAAGTACTAGTGATTCCTTTGAGTGATCGATCTGCTTTGTAGAATAGTGCTGTGATTTCCTCGGTGAGGCAGTTGATTTCGTCTTCTTGCTGCTCCTCCAAATTATCAAACCGAATCATTAGTCTTCGAGTATGTAGGAGCTGTAAATAGTCCACTGCAGAAGCAACGACACAAACACATTGATTGCATCATAAAATAATTATCAGACATTGTGCAGGCCGTAAGCATCAACAAAGCGTTTTTTAAAAAGCGTACGCTTTGCATGCAAGAGCCGGATGCATTCATCTGCGCTATCAGAAAAGTGTGTCCACTTCGGCCGATGTACAGCATTTTTCTTTTCCCAGACCTCGCATGCATCTTGTAGCAATGCTTTTTCCATAGCGTGCGACTTATTTCTCTGTAGGCACCAATAATTATGTCAGCTTTCGATACATCCGAAGACTGGGTCATTCACTATCTCGCCACCTGTTTCAACACACCAAGTACTGAACGGCTTATATAAGTCTGCATCTGAAAGCGCATGTTTCGCTTGCGAAGGTTAGCCCTTCGTTCGATAAAGCGGTCCGTCAGATCCCGATATGCCATACAGCTCAAAATTCGATTTGAAGATCGGTATCCGATTTTGAAACGTCGCGTATCACTCAGACATTCAGTTTAGCGGTTTAGCAGTCACTAATTCTCGTGGTGGAGAAATTTGGATGCAGTAGCCAGATCACATCGAGATATGAATTGCCGGGCTCGGTAAGTTATCGCATGACGCTAATATGAGCGTTGATGCTCCGAGTAAGTGTATGCATTTGCGGTAGCCCATGGCTTTCTCTATTTTAGCTAAAGGTTATTTGGTGCACAGTGGTTGTTAATTATGCAACAGTTGTGAAAGGTAAGAGGCGTAAGTGTTTCTATCCATCACTATCACTAATTAATTATTTATATCGCTAATGTGGAAGCTCCATTTAACGGTCGGATCTTTGCTTCTCTATTTCGATTACCTTTATTTCAACAGTGCTGATTTAAGCTTGGCATGAACATAGGATACAACAGCCAACAGCAGTTTGTAAAGTCCCGCCTGATATAAACTTTGAATCCCACGACTTTCCATCGAATGTTTTCGTCTAGTATATTCTGATGACCGTAATATGCCATCGCCCCTTTCTGTCTTATCCTAAAACCGCGGAAAACTGTCATTTCTACTCTCCGTGCTCTGCTCACGGCACCCAACAAAATCGTTGCTACCGATTCCGGGCAATCCCATTTCCTGCATGGGGGCCTCATACCCGCGCCAAATTGCTTTTATTAGATGAAGGTAAATGACTTGTTAATTCTCCACGAGGAAAGAAGGGCACGGCACACATCTTTTCGCCTTCCCACCAATGCATGGCCCGAGGTCATGCAACCACCCCATGCATAAATGCCATCGTATCTCGACTTTAATTCAAGGGTAGATCACGTTTCGTGCCGGCAAAATTTTCAAACCTTACCTTAAAGGTTCAGCATAACCTTCGACAGTTTTTGCCAGTGTTCCCTCCACATAAAGCATGAATGTTGCTTCCGTATTCGACAGCTGTGGTGACGACGAATTAAATGACTACTGTTACTAAAGTCGCTCGGCGTACTTAATCGCACAACGCTCCCAAACCTATCAAGAGATATTCCACAACCTTACAAATCCCAAAATGTTGATATTACCCATTTACAATCCTGAGCTATGAGCTCCGAAGCTAAAATACCATAATGAATTTTCAGAGCTCACGATTTGCCAACCTTATACCTTAGCAATACTATTATCGGACAAAATTAAATAATTGAATATATTTTGTAAATTATATTTTTGTTAAGCTAGTTCTGTGTCATGCACCCACCGAATTTAGCTTCTACTGTTTGAGATTGTGCTCAACAGCAACAACAAAAGAAGCAGAACACAATGTAATTGTTCCTTCAAATCGATAATTTGTCGAAAACATGTATATACGGCGCAATGAGCTTGACGAAGTTGGTAAGCATTCGCTGCACAGTAATCCCGTTATTTTATCAAAAGTACACTTACATCGAGTGAGACCCGCGCATGTACCGCTGACATGTTTCCTAAAGCTTTATTCGCTGAAATCTCTATAACAGCTCACTATAAATATATGACGGTAACCGGTATCGGCTAATTACCCTCATAGTATTCTTAAGTTCGGACGCAGGCTATACACCGGGGAAAACAGTCGCAAAGTGCGCTGGTCGTCATGGCTTCCGCTCAAGATGCGCGTCCTTCCGATCCTTGTTGCATTTGCATGAGCTTGGATGACGATCAAGGAACACTTCTTGTTCAATGCGTATGTTGTGCTATTCGTGTACATATTAAATGCTACGGTGTGAGTATCGTGGACGGTGATACATCCTCATGGCTTTGTCAAGCTTGTGAGTCAGCTGCTTCAGATCCATCGCCACGCCCGAAACCACAATGCGCTGTGTGTCCCATTGCGGGTGGCGCATTGCGGCTTACGGACCAGTGCGATGTATGGTGTCATGTTCTTTGTCTCAATTGGATACCAGAGCTGTACCATAGCTTGACAGGTGCCATGGATGAGGCTGTGCAAATCGCACTACTGGATAAGAGTCGCAGCACTTTACGCTGTCTCATCTGTGGACTGCGCGGTGGATGTATACAATGTGTCAGCGGGCGTTGCGCCAAGGCATTTCATGTGCTCTGCGCGTTCCGTGCGCCATCAAGTATACTCTTTACAGGTTACAATTTACAGAATCAGCAGGTCTATCACTGCAGGACGCATCTATCTGATGTGGATTCAACCAAGTTTGAAATGGTTGACAATTCGTGGCGTACACTACCCGAAGTCCAGCAATACGTCGATGCGCATCCAAAGACATCCGAACCAAAGTGTCGGTTTTGTGGAAATAAAGTAACATTGCCAAATAAAGACGCACACGAGACACAGTGTCTACTTGGATGGAAAGCACGTTCTGATGCTCACAAAAGAAAGCAAGAGCTACATCGATTAGGAGCAAAGGCTGCTGAAATCTCTTATGTGCTTCATGACAAATCGCCAGGCAAGAAACGAGGGGGCAAGACAAACGGATCAAGTAGTCCTGAAGCACGCAAAGATTTACGGAATGGACATGGCAAGTGGAAGCGACAGGAAGCGTCGATGCGGCCATGTCCAGAGTGTAAAGAAGAGATCAAACAGACATTGATGATGGGGCATTTGAGAAATAGCTGTCCTAAGCGGCGAAAAGCCATGAAGCGCAAGATGCCACACCGCAATGGCTTGCACGAAGATATCGAGGGAACGGACATGACAGATGTTTTGTTTGCTTCTTGGCCAGGACAAAGTAGTGGTGCGCCTATGGATTCAACGCACTTTTGGAAGGTGGTAGACCGACATTTTTACAACAGCAGCATTTTAGAGAAAAAGCGGATGGGACAACTGTCGAAAAATTTATGTGGTGTTAGATTAGAAGACCTGGCTAAAGCAGCACGTCGAAGGCCTTTGCAGGCGTCGGATATTCATTGTCGAGATACAATACGCTTGGAACGGGAGGCCGAGGATCCATCGCAGACGCTGATGTTGAAGAAGTGTACGCACAAGTGCGATTTTTTGATGCGAACCAGTCATTGTCGATGTTTGAGCGATCCTCTGGCTGAGCCTATGATTGCAATTCGCCCTTATTTTAAGTGTAATCAAGTAATTGAATCGGATACTGCGGTTGTGTTGGACGGCGCCGAAGCGACGATGTGGGTCCGATTTATGAATGGAGAAAACAAAATCATTAATTGTAAATACTCGATGCGTGTTGCCCGGGATGCCGAGTTAATGAATCGACATGCAGCGGAGAATGGAACATTCGCAACGACCTTTCAGCATGATGCCGTTTCGACACTGACCGGATTTGATATGCAAACAAAAAGAGCTCCTCTGGCAAATGAGAACAAGTTGCTTATCTCGCTCGACACCTGTAGTGAAGTAAAAGAAGCATTACCTAACAATGATCCGGAGACTTCGCCTCAAGAGCTCCCCATAGATATCTTTTCTAACAATTCTCCAATGACTGATGAATTTACACCTGCGATCAATCTTCTCATGGAACATCACAAAGACACAACAGAGCAAAATCGCTATTGTATTCGTATGTTGTATAAGAAGCTGCAAATTGAGGAAAGCCAAAATAGTAAGTTCCGGCTACTATCACAGATGACCGACTCATACTATACTGAGTTTGCTGCGTGGAAACGACTATGTTTAAGCTTAGTATCAGGCTTCACCTTTGGAGAAGAAAACAATTCATACCATGTTGACAGCGACGAGCAAGAGGAGCTTACAGAAGACGAGGATGACACAGTTGATGACGGAACGTGCGTCGTGTGTTTCGATGGCCAGTCACCTGAAACAAACCCAATCATTTTTTGTGATCGTTGCGAACTTGCGGTTCACCAGCGCTGTTACGGAATGGCTAAAGTACCTAGCAGTGAATTCATTTGCGATCGATGTCGATCCACACACGAAGGACATGATCCAGCCATCGATGTGTTTTGTCAACTCTGTTCTTTAGGGGATGGTGCATTTAAACGTACTGTTGACGGCAAATGGGTGCATATAGTATGTGCGTTGTGGTGTCCAAAAGTTTGGATTGGAAACCTGTCTGAATTGTCGGAGATAAGCCTCGTTGGTCCGCTAAATCAAGCTCGGTTTATCAACCCGGTTGAAGATATCGACGCGAAATTTGCTCAAGCTTTGGGCAGATCACATATTTGTTCGCGACATGATGAGGTCCACACTTTGGAGCTGGGAAGTCTGTGTGTGCACTGTCGAGTTGCCTGTGGACGCACGATACAATGCTGTCACCAAGGATGCTCCACGTCGTTTCATCCGCTTTGTGGATGGTTTGACGGGTTACCTATGACGATTTCTCTTCGAGACGAGCGATATATGTACGCCGGCGGTGGAGCTGGATTGCACTTTCAACTTTTTTGCTCAAATCATTTGCCGAAAGATTATTCTACGTCAGATCAGACTACGATGAGACGTCGGCGAGCGCGATTTCGCATCGACTCGTATTTTGTCATGCGAAACAAAGTCAACTTCAGTAGCGCCGCGAACAAAAATGCAGACGACGAGTCGTCCTTGTTGTCCGGATCGATTGTCCAGGCAGTGCTTTCGGCAGAAAAGAAGGCATGCGGAACCGGAGTAAATTCTACTGCAACCGATTGGACAGATATGACGGTCTGTTCGGCGTGCTTTGAATACTGTGCACCGATTGTTGGCATGCTCACTGACGTCAACATGCTGCACCGAAGGCAATTTATGATTCGCTGTCAGTATTGCAATATTTACATCCATCCCGAGTGCTGCATATCTGACATCGGATCATCTGCCTCAATATTTCAAAGTAACTGGATCTGTGAGCGTTGTACACAAACTGGGGGCATCGATGTGCCAGGATGCATCGTTTGTGCAAAAGTGACCGATTACTTGATGCCGTGCGTGAACCCTGCTGTCGCGACGACCCTGTCAAATGGAAAAAATCCGTCAGGCTTAAAAATAACATGGAATGGTGAGCAGCATTCTTGGTTACATGCTCATCAGAGTATCCAGCAACAGCAGCAAAATTCGATAGATGTAAATAGAAGTAGTATTGCCTTTCAGCCTCGGGCACAGGAAAGCGTAGGAATGGCATCTAAGCCTGCGGAAAGCCGATGGATTCACGTCTACTGCGGCAAGTGGCAGAAGGTGAAGACGGTCAAGAGGCATCATATGCTTTGTGCGTATGCTTCAACTTTTAAATTGGATGGTGCGGCCTCCCGATGCGAGCTTTGTGACAAGAGAGAGGGAGTGCTGGCAAGTTGCACTTACTGTCATCGTCGCTTTCATCCGATTTGTGCCGCCCAGAAGAAACTCTATTGCGCTCGCTCAAATCGCACCGAATGGAAGTTTTATTGTGAAAATCATCCACCACCAGATGCAGCATTCGATTCAAATCGCCAATCATGGATCACTCAGGAAATCCTTGGTCAATTACAGGATTTGCGGCAATCACTTGAGCGGGGTCGAATGTTGCTAGAAATGGCCCGTCAACGAGATCGCCAACATAAACGGCTATTAAACCTGTGTAAGCTACCACTTATGGAGACCTCTATTGAAGTGGTGCTAAAAAAGCGACCAAGCCCTCAAATGAAGGAAATTTATCATGATCTCACAGGAGAAGTGTTGACTGACGTACCGCATCGTCCTAATGCACCACGTAATTCGCGCAGTCGCGTCAAAACTAGTCAGCGAGTTGTGGGTGATGATCGAACTTCTAATGTAGCAAAGGAATTTGCTACACCACCAGAACGACGTCTTAAGCGTCAAAGAACACGAAGTGATTCTAACGAATCGATTCATAGTGATCACAATGCACGTCGGAGCTCTAGGCGAAAGTCTATACGCTTTAACCAAGAGAGCTTTATTTATGAGGGCAAAGCAAGCGAAGAGGATGACCTTGAGGCTTTCGAGACAATATGGACAAATCTTGTGGTGCCGCAAAAATTTGATGCGTTTGATTTTGTTGTCGCGAAGCATTTTCCTGAACTAATGGTGCGTAATTTTATCAATTTGTATGAGAATTGGAATTTATTTGGCGTTATATACTAATGGTTATATATTGCTTGTAGGATTAACCGGATAAGAGTATAATTGGTAGATAATAGCACTGTGACCGAAATGGCAACTTTATTCTTTCGGATCTTCTTAGTTTTGTGTTGGTATGGTGGACTGTTCAATATGATGGAGCAGAATTTCAACTGTAAGGATGTGCGCCACATCGCGACACGAATTAATGAAAGATATTGTATCACTACGTATGGCTCACGAACGACTTGTTGCGAATTGCACGATAGCATCTGCGGATACTAAGAAAGTATGTGTAAGAATGTATCAATACCTATCTACTCAAGCTAAAGCTTACAACGCGTTTTTGTTTAATTCGATAGCTTTAAAAAATGTATTGAACAAAAAAGCATTCTGTGTTTGTGACGCAATGATGCAGCTTTGAGCTAGATGTGGTCAATGAGCGTGCGTGTAAGGAAGCATACCGGCATGAGCATGTGAACGTCGCGGTCCTGAAAAAAATGTACGCCGCTTGTTTCTGCAGCGTGAGTATTTAAAAAGAAA